TGAAGCGATCAGTACAGACAGAATTTTTTTTAAAGAATATTTTCATTCCGCGATTGGTTGAATCCATGGAAATGGAATCTACAATGCAATGGGCTGACTGTATTAATTTAAGGCCAAACATATTTGATTGTATTTGAGATATTTGAGCTAATGTAGAGACTCATTATCCTTTTATTCTGTTTCCCTTCACTAGCATAATGATACAGGAAAGCCATTTACTGGACAGTGTTATGTTAAGCTGAGAAACTTTTCAACTGTTACTCATTGAAAGAGATTTTTGATTATTGCTTTATTATGTGAGTTATTCTGCATGCACTATGATGAACATGCCTTGCTAATGCAGCTCCCTTCTCAAGTGTCTGGGTCTTGCTTTCCATCAGAGTCACATCTTTTGATGCTATCTCTGAGTTGAAGAATTTTAATGTGGACAGTTAGTAACTGTAGGCCTTCTCACAGGCCTGCCAGTGTCACATAAGTAGTTTAAGGAAGTTTTCTTTCAGCTTGGGGAAGAATTAGAAAATGTATTAGTATTTATGGTAAAACTTTGAATAATAGGGCAAAGGGGAGGGAAGGGAAGGGAGGGGGMAAGGAGATAGGAATGATGGTGGAATKAGTTAGACATCATTACCCTAAGTACATGTCTGAAGACACAAATGGTGTGAAAATACTTTGTGTACAATCAGTGACTTGAAAAATTGTGCTCTATATATGTAATCTGAAATGAATTGCATTCTACCATCGAGTACAACAAATTAGAATAAATAACTAATTTAATAAAAAATGTATTAGTATTTATGGTAAATCTTTGAATACTATGTCATTTTAATACAAATTTTGAAAGGCAAAGGGGGCAGTCATGGTTTTGCAAAAGAAAGTACTGGATTCTAGTTTAGAGCAAAAGTCCTATGTTCAGATTCATGCATGTCTGTTAACTAGCTGTGTGACATTAACAAAGGCATYAGATCTCTTAAAATTTAATCCTCATCCATAATATGTGAAGAGTTTGAATTATATCAGTGGGGGTTTGTTGTTTTGGTGCTGGGGATTGAATCCAGGGGTGCTTAACCACTGAGCCACTCRTGGCCCTCTTGCTTCAGCCTCCTAAACCACTGGAATTACAGGCATGTGCCACCATGCTCAGTTAGATCAGTGTTTTTTTGTAATCAATATAATTTGGAGCTTTCTAGTCTACTGTGATACCAAAGGTTTGGGATACAGGGAATCTTGGCAAGCAGGCCTCAGATTCTCCACTTCTGCTCTAACGCCAACAGCTCCCTTTCAGCTTTTTAAGTTATTTTATTTATAATATTACTGGATGATTTGTGTTTCACTTACAAAATGGAATGCTACTTTAAAAAAAATAAAAACCTGAATTACATTACTTCAGTGTTCCCTTCTATCCCTAAAATGTCAATGATCCCAGTAACTGGGTAGCCCAGGAAGAAAAAGAAAAACTGACCATTGTCTTGGTCATGTAGCCAATGTCTTGAGCAACTGGGGTGTAACTATGGGAGGCTAGTCCATTGTTTATGGCCTCTTATGGATTTTAGTGTGCTATTTTATTTGTTTGATTTCATTATACCATGACTGCTCTCCACAAAGAGGAATGCACAATTTAGAGAAATAAATATTGAGCTCTTTCGAGAATTTACATTATATGTTATTTTTAGTAAATGTCAGGACACAGCATAACATTGAACAGGAGCACTGAATTACTGGGTAAGGTACAAGAGCCAGAAGCTAAATGCTTTTCTCTAAACCACAATCATTAATTCAACATGTTCTGCTGCCAGTGGTACTCTGTCCAGTGCTGTGCTCCTAAATTTTGCTGTATCTCAGGCCCCACTTTCTATAACTTTCTGCCCGTTATTGGCCAGCCTGATTGTACTATGGATAAGATACTTTACAGTAAATGTTAAAGGAAAAAAATAGTCATTTCTAAACTTGATCTTCAGCATTCCTCTGAAGGGTCAAATTACTAGATGAATGYGTTATTTAGATATACCCAGACTTGACTCACCTTTTAAATACAAATAAATAAACAAAAGGGTATAAAATTGTCTTAGCCAAAAATATGGTCAGGATATATTACCCTAAGTGTGCCACAGAAATGCAGAGTGGAGCAAAACAAAACAACTAGAGTCTCAATTCTCATCTATGATGTTCTGCTTTGTAATATAGGACCTCCCCCCATATGTCATAATCACTATCAGCTCATTTAAAATATTGGAGCCAGTCCAAAATACACAGGGCTACTTCCCTTTTCACCAAAAATCTTTCATTGACTAATGTTGATGGAAGCATATTTAGCCACAACAATTTGCATGGCAGTTGAATTGCTGTTTGTCTTAAACAGCAAACCAAAAACTAATGAAGGAAAACAGGAACATGCCAGTGGTGAGCCAGGGAGCAGAGCAGTCCTTCAGCATTTTCCATGCTGATCTTTTTCTTTGTTCTTACAAACATGAGAACAAAAGATTGCTCATTATAACAAGGGGCACTGATCATGCTCAGTTGTCACAGCATTATTTCCTTTCAGCTATCCAAAGATCTCACCTGCTGTCCCTTGGCTTGCATCTCTTTGCCATGGGCTAGTTTTTCTCAGTTATGCCCATGGCCATATTTCATCAGTACAGGTTAATAGCAGTATTCATCATCCCAAATGGATGTAGTTGAACAGTGCACCTAACAAGTGAGCAGTTGACGTAGGTGAAGACAAGCTGGGATCTAAGTTAAGTATCAAAGTAGGGAGGCAGTAGTTAGGGAGACACAAGAAACCCTGGTTGTTGCCACTAGAGAACTCCCAAAGCAAGTCAGAGACGTGTGTGTGTGTGTGTGTGTGTGTGTGTGTGTGTGTGTGTGTGTTTTAAATAAGTAACAGTAGGAACAAGGGTATAATTAAATAGAGTGGTACAAGTGAGAGCATGTAGGGACATGAATATTGGAGATATTTAGAATAAAATGACCATGTGTTTATGATACCTACATCTCCACCCATCCTGACTTGCTCTAGTTGTTACACTCTTCAGAATGTGAATCCACTTTTCTCATGTATTTGTTAGTTATTCCTATAATTTTTTAATAAATACTAAATGTTTGTTGTTAATTAGCAGCTGGTTGCTGTCACTTATCAAGTTCTTGATCCAGACTATTCCCAAATTTTATTAAGCTCATGATTCTGTCAGTTCAAAGTGGCTCTGAACTTGGCTGGGGAGTTTGTCTGGCCTCAGCTGGGCTTCCATCTGAGTCATCTGTGGTTACGTTACCTTCAGGTCATTTGGGCAGTTCTGCCCGGACGGGAGCTGGATACCGCCTGGGGCCACCTTCAGGGTAGTGTTCAGTGGGGAGAGTCCTGGATCAGACTTTTCTTGTCAACTAGCAGGTTGTCCAGGGCTTCCTCATATGGTAACAACATGGTTTCTCTTGGAAAAGTGAGAATGTGCAAGGCCTCTCAAAGCCTCAACACAATTGGCACGGAGTTGCTTCTGCTGTATTCTGTTCCCCAAATCAAGTCAGGAGGGCAGCCCAGATGCAAGAAGTAGAGAAGCAGATGTCCATGACACCCTGATGGAAGCAGGTGCAGCATCTTAGTGCAAATAAGTCGCAGGAAGAGGAATGAGCGAGGACTCTTATTCAGTGTCCTGCACTCCAGATTTGCTTTGACACCTCAAACTAAAAAACCTAATATGCCAACTAATTCCCCAAAATGCCCCTTAAACATTGTCATCCTTCTGTCATTGTTGACATAACTGGAATGTGGGAATTTGGGGGAGCCAGTCAGTTCTTCTATGGAATACAGAATAAAAATTACTTCTCTTCCTTAACTGAGGCACATTGTGTGTTGTTGGGATTGCTTGCCTCTCCTCTGTAGCCTTCTTAGCCATGCAATCTCAAAAGGCCATCACCATCAATTATACCATCTGCCAGGTCCTGAAGTTTCAGTGTATTGCCTATCCACTTATGACATACATCCAAGTGACTTTGCCACCCACTGTATTACCACTTCCTTCTGCGTCTCGTGTAGCACTTGCTAAAAACATTTTCATTTGCCTTTTTGGAATATATATTGAACTTCCATACATTATATTTTTCTTTTATGCTCTGCTGTCTCTTGGTAAACTATATCAATCACAGAGTAAGGCAAATGCTAATACTAATGTGCACTGCTGTAGGTATCTCTTGCTAGTTTTCATCCAAGGTCTGACTCAACCCAGCCCTCTTTAGATTTGTGAGATCTAATAAGATCATAGCACAGGGTGGTATAGCTGCAGGCAGAAAATTCTGCTTGCCAAATGTATTTTCCTTCAGAGCAGTTCATAAATTAATGTAGGGCACTGAGACACCATGGCTGTATGCGTGCATTAATACAGGTCTCTCTTCAATTGACTACCTTCTTTTCCAGCCACTAATTTCTCTGAGATGGTGCCAAACTCTTGGTCAGATATAGCTTCAATGCATCCCACCCTCTTGGTGTGAAATGATAATTAATATAATTTTACAGTTGAGGTGGTGCTCTACTTCCATTAATAACACCCCATTATTCCAGGTAGTTTTAATTTGCTTATAAAAATTGACTCAGGGTAGAACTTGGCTTAAAAACTTATTTTAAGAGCAAATGGTTTGTTTCTACTTAATGAAAAAAAAAAGACTTTTTTAAAGGAAATTTTAAGTTACTTTTGAGTTGTATAGGCATTGGACCAAATTCCTAAAATATTGGTGTGAATTTTTGATTTGTAATTGATTTGATATCATCCTGTAGTATCTCATAAAGTTGGAACCTCCCAAGTCTTCTCAGCTAGCTTAGGTTTGGCAGAGTCTAGAGCTCTGCAGCATCTCATCAGTTGGCATCAGAGGGCATTTCTGTATATTGCTTCTCACACTTCAATATCAAATTCTCTTCCCAGCAGATTATGCAAGCTATCAACTGAATTACATTCAATAATAAGAAGCAACCCAGTTTGACATTGCATTTTCATGGGTATTTTACTTTCTTATTGTAGATCTGCTAGAAGAGACCCAAAGAAAAGATGAAGAAATGGAATCTCTGCAGGTAAAGAAAATTCTCAAACAGGGCAAGTATCCTTGGGATAAAAACATTTATTTTTTGCTCTGTTATCCTTCATAGTCGCATTCAGACTGCTATAGGAAATGGGTGACAAATACAATATCAAAAAAGTTCCCTTTAAGAGTCTTTGAGAGAAAACTTGTAAGCTAAAGCAGAAAGCCAGCTCAGCCTCTGGGCTGCTCTGCAAAGGAAACTATTTCTGGGTATGGTATAGTGAGAACTTCAGCATTAGGAAATGAATGTAACATCCTTTCAGTAATTTCTCCAAAAATAACGCTGATGAAGGAGGATGAATTCATGGAATTGACATTTTCAAGTGTAAGTCAAAAGTATCCTGACTCTCTTTATATTGACTATCAGTGACCAACCAGAAATGTTAACACATATCTGAAGCTTAATATTTACCTTATATAGCCTCTCAATTTACCATGGATTTTTGCACTTTCTTTTTTTTAAGGAAATTTTAAGTTACTTTTGAGTTGTTTAAGCATTGGACCAAATTCCTAAAATATTGGTGTGATTTTTTGAAAATTGTGTTTGAAAGTTTCTGCTAGAATTTTAGTTGATATTTCTATGATACAAGCTATTGAGTTAAGTTAGCATCCGACAGAAGTTCTCTCTTCCCATTACATTGGGCTAACTTACAAATGGGTAACTCAGCTGTCTGTCTTTATTAGAGGAAACACAATCAGTTATATACACATGACAGAACCAATTCACTTAATGTCACGTTGGAGATTAAGAACAGTAAATACTTTGGACATTTAGAGTTCTTCATGGGCCTGGAGCTATAAGGCCAGACTGGGGAGAGTGATATAATGAGCAGGCTCAAGTGCATTGGGGTGAAGATGTTTGCTTCTGTGGGAAAAAAAGAATGGGTCAAGTAAAGCTCAAAGAGCATGGGAAATATTTTGTGATTGCAGATTCTTCTGTTTGATGGTTTATCCATCTGAAAATGCTAAGGTATTGGAGTTCTATGTGTACAATAAAAGTGGCATGTATTAGTTACAAATTTGTACAGATTAAAGTCCTTTAATATCTTAAACTATATTCAGATATAAAAAATAAGAACACTAGTTGGTCCACTGTGTGGCTAACAAACAAACAAACAAACAAACATACAAACGATAACAACAACAAAAATCAAGTGTATGCTCACATTGCCAGTCTGTGTGGTATTAATATCAGCAATGCTTGTTATAAAAAGCAAAGCTCTGTGTTCATTAAACATGTCTAGTGAGACAGTAATAAGGTCTTTTGGCATTTGGCTATATATTGTGACTGCCATTGGACTCACGGTACCACATATAAACATATTTACTGAGTACATATCTAGCCTTTTGAAATAATTTTGAGTTTATTTCTCTGAGAATATAATTGTTGGAATCAGTAATACCATTAAATATAATAGCCTATGTTGCTTCTCAAATGTTTATTAACTGTTGGCAGCATTTTCTACCAAAATGTTCACCCAGTGCAATGGAATGCACAGCCAACTAACTTTGGACATTTATAGATGTCAAATGTGCAATATGGTCTCCTACAGCAGAAGAGTTAAATGTTGGCCCTGTTTAGTGATGACTAATGTCTGATACTAATGTGCCATTAAGAATACAGGGAGCTGACACCTCTCAGAGCAATGAGTTCAGAGGCACATCACAGAAAGGCTTTAATGTAAAAGGCTAGAGGAAAATCCACTGAAAATCCCTGAATTTYTATATTCAAATGAAAAATATCATAGGTGACAGTTTGGAGAAGGCTATTAAAGTATGTCCTAAAATAATACAATAGTACTTTGGGAGGGAAGGACAAAATAATTTCCCCAAAAATGTTAACAGTAAGGATTGGAGGTCAACAGCTTTTGAGTTTTGAGTTCTGGCTCAGCTTCTGTTTCACTGGGTAACCTTGGGTAACTCAATTAACTTTGCTGTGCTTTATGTTCTCATCTGTAATATAAATCATAAAACTGCCTTCCAGAAGTATTTAGTGTAGATCAGATTATCCCAGAAGGAGAGCTAAATATTTAATTCCAATTTACAATGTTAGCAAATCTTCATGTTATCCAAATTAGAGTCAATTTTATTTACTCATTATCATCTTATAATTATGTATAACACATATTCTACATTTAATGTTATTCTCCTTAAGGGTCAGGGGTGTTTTCTATAAATAAAAGGTTCTCTATGTACTCAGAGTGGATATTGATTGAACACTAATATCATTCATGGAACTAGGTGCTAGCACTCCAAAGCCAAGCTCTCTATACTGGATTGTTTCTGGTCCTTTATACCAGAATTAGCAGAGAAGAGTCTTAAATGAGGTTTATAATAAAACATTTGAAAAATAATATTAAGAGGGAATGTCTAAGTTACCAGAGGAATAATCGTTGTTGGTTGGGCAGTTAAGTGTAATAGAAGGTAGATGGGTTGAGCCATGATGGGTGGCGATCCATGGAAGCCAGTGTTTAAACAATAACTAAGAGTTATCTGGGAAAGTTTGGGGTGAAGGTAAGAAAAATTTGAGGCACTGGGAAGGATCTGGGAAGCACTCTGATAAGAGAGCATACCTACATTTTTAAGGAGCTGAAAGAAGTTCAGTCTGGTGAAATGTGGCATCTGAATGAGGAGAGACTTGAAAGGTAATATAAGGTGAACAGAAGTCTGAAGGACATTATAAAGGAGCTTGAACTTTAGTATATACAAAGTCTGTGAAGGGTTTGAAACATGAGAACAATATGATCAAATTTGCATTCTGAATAGGTAAATGACTATAAAGTTGAAAATAATTGGAGAAAGTTAAGAATGAAACCAGGGAGACCAACTCAGCAGATACTTGTGAGAATCTCAGCAAGACACTATGGTACCCTGGACTGGGTGGCAGCAGGCAGTGTGAAGAAGAGTGGTGGGTTCTTCATATATTTTAGGACAGAAGAAGCAATGGAACTTTTGAGAATGATTGTGGGAAGTAAAAAGGAAGAAATTAAAATGAGTCTCAGGTTTCTTAACTGAACAATTTCTTGGATGGTGTGCTGGTCAATGAGAGGGTAAGCTGATTAATTTTGGTATTTTGAAATTCTCTTGGGGTTCATCTGAGTCAGGCACTCAAGGGGTTTAGAGAACATGCAGAATATGATGTCCTCAAACCTGATGTCCATAGCATATGAATGATACTACCAGTCATAGGAGCAATGAAAACTCTCAGAGGAAGTGTGTAGGCCAAGAAAAAGGGAAAGCCTGGAGCCCAACTCTAGAAAATAGCACTTCACATATCAGACCAAGGACAAGAACCCACCCAGGAGCTAAAGACATAAAGAAAATAACAAGAGAACACAGATCATAAAGCTTAGCAAAAGAGTATTGCAAGGGGAAAATATTCAGTAAACTGAAGAATATTTTTACATTTTTGGAGACAGTTTGCTATGGATTTTGGTTTCAAACCAAAACTTTATCATTCAATAAATATATTTCCTGTCRTACCTGTGAAGCAACCCTCATGTCTTTCCTTTTCTAAAATGTCCACTGTGTAGCGCGATAGCTGCCATGGGTTACTCAGTAAGTTTCTGTGGATTGAACAAGTGAATGCCACCCTGCTGGTCTCCTCTTTAGTTATACTTATCCCTGAGTCTCCTTAAGGTTGATCAATTGAAAAACAGTACCCATCCCCCATGTCCTAGAGTTCATTTTTTTTTTTCAATTTAAAATGTTTTGAGGGACAAGACCCAGGTAATGTCGTTTATGTGTGTATGTGTGTATAATACACACTCACACACACACTCTTTCTCTTTTTTGTTCTGTTTCCTTTCTTCCTCCTGCTGTGCTCTGCTTTCTCCCTCTTTAAGTGTAGCATTGAATTAAAGATCAATGAGTCATTTGGCATGAGTGATAAAGGCAGTGAAAAAGGACAAGATGGTGGGAGGAGGGAGCAGGCACAAGGAAGAGAATATGTTCAATCTTGCAAGGAATCAGGAATAGTGGAGGCAAATATATTTGACAGTGATTGTTACAATACAGCTTGTAATTACCAGAATTCTTCATTGGAGCTTAACAGTTGTCTGGCTCATTTTTTGTGACATTCATTTGCAGTTACATTGTGTGTTGCTCTTCTTAAAAACAAAGTATTGTCTTTGACTATAAATGTGTAGTGCAGTATCAGAGTTCTATTTGCATATGGATTTGAGGTACACTGAAACAAACAAATCCCTTCTTTAATCCTCTTGAGATCAGTGGAAACATTTAAAATAGACACAAAAGGTAATCCATTTTTCCTCAATTTATTGAAATGTATTCAGTGACTTGACACCTTGCTTGTTATGGCTGGTAGCAGTAGATGTTACTGCTGGGTTTTGTTTTCTTTCTTTAAAATATCAATCTATGTGGTTCACTTTCAGTAACTTGGTTTTTTTCCTCATGTTGCTTTGTGAACCACCAAATACAAAGCGTACTTAAAAAATTAGTATTCTACTTCATTGAGGAAAGTTCCAAAGGGTTAACTGTGGAAGTGACCAAACAGAATATCTTGAAAACTCCCACATTCCTTTTCTTTGCTAATTTATGGCTGTCTCTTTTCATTTTATTTGAAATGAGCTAAAATTAGATTTTATAACGTGGATTTCCCTCTCTTATTAGGTTATTTTAGGTTATTTTGAGGCAGCTTTATCTATAAATTGGGAACAATAGTAACACTGACTTCTTAGGATTATCAAGAGAATTATGATAAGAAGCATGGAACCCTTGGTGCCTGGCAGGTCCTCGGTATATTTTGTTTCCAACCACTGTGCAATAAATACTATTTATTTACATGTTCTGTGTTCCAGACACCATGCTGCATGTCAGGGACAGAAGTAAAGAAGCCAGACCCAGTCCTGGCCTGCATGAAGCGCCTCCCTGCCTTCTTCCCTTCCTCCCTCTGCTCCACCGCTCCCTCTCTTTTCCTACCCGCTCCATGGGCAACCATGAATCTTCAATTTCTATTTATGGCAGACTATG